GAACAGACTGAAAGGAGAGTTAAAACAGACCAAAGGAACTCTCATAAGATAATTGTGCTGATTCTGGGTCTGCAGTGCCTCATCATGTTTGGACTCATACGTACTTTACACCATCACTGTAAGAACCTCACTTCTTATGTTGTCTTATAACTTCAGCAAAAACACAACAGTTTTCTTATTCTGCCAATCACCAAATTAAAAATGGTGATGGTGTTGTTTAAAAAAGAAAAAAACTTTAATTTTGCCAATGCAATGCACACTATTGTGATTCGTTTCCCATCCAAGTAATCTAAACTTTGGCATGCTTCTCCTCCTGCATACTTTGTCCTAGAGATGCCATTGTAATTTATGACTATGCCTTTTGGTGCCTGTAAAACTTGTAGTTTTTGAAATATTAATGTTTAATAAATTATAATGACAGTCAATGGAGCCTTGTATTGGTCCAATACTGCCCCCTGCTGCATCTACACAATATGGTACTGCACTAAAGTTTCATAATACAGTATTTAAACTCAGTAGTTCAGTGATTACAATATTAATGTGATTATATTTTGATGTTTTAATGTAATACTGTCTTTAAGTTGTCATATTGCTGTAATATATTGCATTTAAGTGTCAATAGTTGCATTGGCAAGGTAAACTTTTTCTGTACACATACAATCCAATCCCTGGGATTGTCCTCTGCCACATCTCCTATAGTCTCATGCTGAGCACTGTGGGCTTTCATGBGGGAGATCAGGGTTCAAATCCAGCTACTGCTACTTTAACAAAAAATCTCTTCCAACTTCATATTGTCACACAATTACCTTAATTACAGTACAAACACCTGCTGACGTGACAGGCACAAGCTGGTATAGAAAACACATTTGAACTTGGTCAAAGTTCATTCTGAAAGTCCAGTGCTCCTGCATACATTGTCCTACAGCTGCCATTGTAATTTCTATCTGTAAAGGTCCTGTGCCAAATGATTGCTATGCCTTTTGGTACCTGTACAACATGCTGCAATGACATGCTACTGTACATGGCAATGCACACTTGTTTTTACATCGTAAAAACCCATGTCTAGTTTATTATTAGTTTTGTCCTAAATGCTTACATGACATATATTGAGGTCTACAGTGGCTGTTATGGCACCAAACGTTGCCTTTTTCTTCTGCATTTTAGATAAGATGACCAAGTTTTGAARGTTTTTTTTATGTCCAGCACTTACTTCTCTTAAGTAAAAGTTTATGGGTTAAGAAAAACAAATTAAACAAACAGCAAGAGAATGAGCAAAGAGCAACTTATCTGCCACTGAGGCCGAGAGCGTGCTGAGAGGTTAACAGCTGCTGATGGCTTTATGTTACAAAACAATGTCCAGAACACAACTCTGCAGCAACAAGGARCCTCGAGGTGAAAAACACCTCCTTCAACCCCACAGGGAGGTCATTTGTGGATTTTRTGGATCGGGCAGCCCTGCAGGGATTCAGTGTTTTGCAGAAGGACACTTGAGCCAGGCAGATTCTGTCTGTTCAGTTTTGTTTTGTCTAACACCGAGCAGCTCAGCAGGGAGTTTAACAGCTTCTTTATTTCACGAAGAGAATGAGTGAAATCATAGATCAAATGATCTGATGAGACACTAACAAGCCAAACATTATATCAAGATTTTATAGAAATCCATCACTGCATATAAATTAGACATTTTCAAATAAATATATATAATAAATAAGATTGTGGTTTTGAAATGTATTTTACAAAAAAACTGAAAAATATTTTTTAATATTAAAAAAATTAATACATAAAAATAGGATTAATAGACAATGAGTTTTACCAGTATGGTCATTTCTAGTGAACCTATAGTTTTAACTTGAAGGTTCTTTTTGTATCAAATAGCGCCCTCTTCTGACAAACATGGAGAAAAGTCACAAAAATATGACAAGCACAAATTTTTAAATTGAAACTGCTAAATTATTATTTAAACGTAAAGCGTTATTATTTAAGATAACCTACATCTCTCATTATCTTCATCAGCAAAAACACTTTATATAATTGAGAAATTTGTGTTTGGTCATTTTATATCAATATGACGCTTACCAGTAAACTTTATTGTTGTAAATAATTTATGCAAAAAATTGTATTTGTGTGTCGAGGAGCAGAGCTGAGTATGTAAGCTGCTTCTATTAAAAACAAACACTTCTCTGTCAAACTGATGAGCAACGATAAGCAAACCCACACCACGAGTCTGGGTCTAAGCAGCGTAAGGAGTAGGTTCCAGCTCGTTGTGGCTGTGTATGGTTCTTCCACGTGCTACKGAGGTCCCTGCTTGTTAAATGAAAATAAATTGTTAAACTACCAAACTCTTGTTTCTTTCGATTTCAGTCGTTTAATTCAATTAATACCACCAAAAAGGAGTCAACAGCAGAAGAAGCTGTTTGGCWATGACAGACACGATTTGGTAAATCTTTCATAACCACAACCTATAAAAGTAACATCATTTAACAGGAAATAAACAGGATTAACAATATAGATTTTTGTTGCAACAAAAATAATCAACCAAACACAAAATTCCTTTATTTTTGGACCAAGTTTGGTCCTAATGTTGATAAGCTTTTAATATAAAATGTAAACGGAGGCGTCTTTGAAACAAAATAAGACATTTAAGGTTTCCTGTAAAGTATATTGACTGCTGGTTACAAAAATTGTGAAATATATTTTTATTCGAAATCTTACAAAAGTTAGTGAAAAAAAACATGAAAATAAATTGAGATTTGCATTGTCACTTCAGTTTACAGATGAGGTTAATACTTGTGTTCCCTTAATTACCTAAAGACAAAAATAACAAGTTAAACATTTTTACATTCAAGTGATACTAGGTGWACAAATAATCTGAGCCTGAACAGCCTGAGGATTAAACTCTGGGAAATAATGAGGAAAAAATACGGTAATATCACTTTGTGTTCACATATCTACTGCAAAGAACTTTATATTAGGAATAACATTAGAAAACGATATACATTTATAGAGTGTAGGCTGGTTTCTTCAACTTATAAAGCTCTGTAAGGCACTTTAAGTTGAGCATGTTTGACCTTTGTGTGACTTCCTTCATTAAAAACACAAAACAGGTATGAACGTTCAGGAGAGAAAATAAATGTGTAAAAAAAAACATTAACAAGACAGATTTTTGGTGTAACTTTTGGTCATTTCGCATGTTTCAGCACATTTCTGCTTTGTTTTTCTCYAACATACATGTCCAGTTCCCATCGTCAGATTACCATTCAAGCACAACTTCCACCTAAACAAACTCCTGTTGGCGCTTTCCCACAGCGTTGGTGAAACCTCCGAGAGGAGTTTCGTGTTTTCACGGTAGTCCGACTCCTCCGAGCTACAGATTTTCATGTCCGTCGCACGGCCGGGGGCGAAGCTCAGTCACATCGTGTTCCCACATTGCACATGGTCCGCGAGTACAAACACACACTTAAACGTTTAGAAAGCATTGAACTCTTTGGATTCGACAGCACATCCTGTTGCATTTCAGTCGTTTTTCCTTCATCCTATTTAAAAAAAGAAGTGTCAATCCTGTAAATATGAAGCATGACAGAGCTTCACACCTGGTGATCATCATGTAAACATGTTGCTACATAGAATGTGTTAGTCCTTCATATAAATGTGAAATCAACGGAAATCTTCCCTTTGTTTTATTTAAACTTTCCAAGGTCTTTAAGCTCAGAAGGAGTTCTTTTAGCAGTGCAGAGGTGCTGAGAACTAAATCCCTTTGGTTCCAGTTGGCTCTACTCCACCTTCCAGATGGCGATCTTTCCGTCCTGTTTGCCRGCTCCACTGAGAACGTACCGGTCCTCAGCCGAGCAGAGCGCCGTGACCCTATCGCCGTGACCTTGGAGCTCCTTCAGGATCTCGTAGCGCTCGGCGTCCACGATGTAAACCTTCCCTTTAGTCGAACTGAGGCTCAGACCACCGATCCACACCTGGAGGGAAGGATGCGACATTACTGCAACATKTAGAGCGACCTTTTATGTTTGTGTTTGCAGCTTATTTACCTGTTTTTTCACTTTAATCATGCAGTAACAMCCAGTGCAGTCTGGAAGCACCATGCGGTGGAAGGGCTTTGCAGTGTCTTTGGTGTGCCATATACACACTTCTGTGGTGTCTGAAAACACACACCACAGCTCCTCTTGCTAATCAAMGAAAAGAAAACACAAAGTTTTAAAACTGTCTAAAAATRAGTGCATTGTGGACAAATAAAAACTGCACGCTACCTCAGGTAAGAGCAGTGCAGAGCTTAAAGTGGCTCTTTGCTGCTCTGGAAAGTTTATGCGATGTTTTAAAGTCCCATTCCTCCACACCTCCATTAYACCATCCCTTGCGCCTACAACAAGGGAGAAAGAATACATCAGAAAACATCTGCCTCAYGTTTCATGTATTTTAATGCTGCAGCAGCAGTGTGATACCTACAGCACCAGAGCATCCGGCTGCAGCTGTAGACAGAYAGCAGACGATCGCAGGAGAGTCGAAAGTGCCTTTTAGCCTGCAGGAGTGGAAAAGCAGTCAGTAAAAAGGTGCAACATGTTTATTTTACGATATTATGGGCCTTAGCTGACMGTGATCAGTTCTCTGTTAGGAAGCAAAGACTGACCTGTAGAGTCGAGACGTCCCAAACCATAACGGTTCCCTCAGCACTGCAGGAGAACGCCACCTTTTGGCTGAAAAAAACACAACACACTCATAAATTCACTCCAAACCTCTGAAGTCAGATCAGAGCTGAAGAATGTCAGATTGATATTCTTTTATCATATTTCCAGTCAGATCCAGTTGAGTTTGGAAAGATATATTAT